CTGCACTTGCTGGCTCCAAATGCAATTCTTTTTAAAAAATAATTATTTGACTTTATTTATTTTTTATTTGACCAGAGAAGGACAGAGCAAGAGAGAGAGAAACGGAAAGTGAGAAAGCAAGCCATCAGGCTCAGGACTCGAAGTGCGGTTGGCCATGTGGAAGTCCAGCGCCCTTAGCCACCATGCCACCTGCCAGCCCTCCGAATGCAGTTTCGAAGTGACCACTTGATTGCCTCCATGGCTCTGTCCCTGACTATGCATTTACCAACCCAAAGTTTGCTGCTCCTACCCTGGAAGACTGATCTTCAGCCCTGGTGTTGGGGAGTGTCCTGTTTTCTCAGCTCACAGCTGTCTGCTCCAACTGCCTGCCTGTGACAGCTCCGAGCTTTCAGCTCAGTGTGCCCTTGGGAGGAGGGACATGGAAGCATGCATGTGTGCCAGTCTCGAACTGGTTGTTTTAGCGTCATTGGGAGGCAGGGGAGAATTTGTAGGAAAAGCATGAAATCGTGTCTTTTGTCTTCATTTTCCTGTCATGATGGGAAGGAGTCCAGAATAACTCTGCCTACACTACCCCATCCCAAAGGCTCATTTCAAAGTCGGGCGTCTGGAGTTCAGGTCACATGTTCTTATGCAGCTGGCGTGTCATAGTGCCACACGAGGCAGAACTCGGGTCAGCGTGAGCAGGAAGAGTGTCCTGCAAGAACACGCTCCCTTCCGGGCAGTGGCAGCACCTGCTCAGAGTTCAGGGAACTTATTCGGCATGATATCTGAGTATTTCAGCTTCTTAGGGAGAAGTAGCCACCCGCGGGATGCGGACAGCCTGAAATGTATGAAGGAAGTCCCCATCAGTCCCCGTCCTTGGGAAGAGCTGTCAGGGCCAGCTCTCTGTCACTTTGCACTTTCCCAAAGCCCGGGGTGACACGGGCCCTGCCCCGCCTTATAGAGGAAGAGAGTGGCTCTGAGAGGGGCCAGCTGTTGATCCCACAGAGCGGTGGCCCGGCTCATTTCCACCCGGCGTCACGCGTCTTCCCAGGAATGTCACTTTCTAGATGAGAAGCCCCTGATGAAGCGTAAATGTGCCATTTACATTTTGCACGGATGAACAGGTTTCGGACATACCCGGGCCCGTTTGGCCTTAGAGAGCCTCAAAGCCACAGCCCTGGTGGTCCTTCTGGCTGGGGACCCCGGAAGAAGGATGAAGCCAGACCAGGCAAATTGCCCTGCCTGATCTCCTTTGAAGGAACATTGCCCTCAGAGGCCTTCTCAGCCCCTCAGCTTCCATGTTTCTTTAGGCCAGAGGGACTGAAACTAGATTCAGGATGTTTATGTAAGAAAACAATTCTGAGAGCTGTTCCCTGGCAGAGCCCGGGCCTTTGGGGAGGTTTGCAACCAATGTTAGTTAGAAAGCCTGAGACTCAAATCTGTGGTCTACGGAGCATTTCGCAGTCAGGCAGGCTTCACGGGTTCCGGGGACGACTGGCAGCTGGACTGCAAGATCCTGCTGGTGCTGGCAGCCTGGGCTCACGGCTGGCACTTAGGAGCTGTAGGGCCCTGACCAGTGACGGATCATTGACACCTGGTTGCCTTCCTGGGAAACAAGAACAATACGGTTTTTGTGGAGTTTTGAGGCACAAAAGTAATATGTATCGTTTACCTAGACGGCCTGGTGGTGCTAAAAGGTCCCCAGTACATGGGAGCCTGCTCTGATTTGGCTTTTCCTATGCCTGGAAAATTCTTACCCTGGACTTTGGGTGGAGCAAAAGAGCCACACTGGTTGAAGCAGGCTTGTTTTATTTGACACCAACATGGCTGACTTTAGCTAGAACCTTCTTTGGGAGCATACTCCAGTCACCAGGGATTGAGTGCCTGGATGGTGCTGTTAGACTGCTCTTCAGGCTCTTTCCTTGGTGGCTGTGGCCTCTCTCCGGGGTTGTGCATGGCCCTTCTGGGGTGCGGACCACCTGCTTTGATTCTGGCCTGTAAGGCGTGGGGGAAGACCATGAACTATGTTCTGCTGGCCAAGGGCCTATGGCTAATCCTTTTTCCCTTTCATCCTTTCTGAGTTCTTCATGGGAAACACCAGTTACTATTGCTTTTCTAAGTTTTAAGTACATTTAGGGAAAAAAAGATTGCCCAAGCTGATTGGTTCCTTAAAACCCCTTAACATTGAGCACCGCCATTTTTCTTGTATAAATCTATAGTGGATATCCTGAGATTTTATTTTGATTGTCGTCAAGCGTTTATTACTGACTTTGCTTTATTTACAGTGCTAAAAGGACAAAATATTTCTTCTGCTCACATTTCACAAAATTCAGCACTTAGGTCTTTGCTGATTTTCCCATTCTAGTCTAGTCTAGTTGTTTTGAGTTTTTGGTTTATTTATTTTTTTTTAAGAAATAAGGTCTAGCCCTGGGATCTTTCTATTTCCACCACTAGCTTGGCTCTGGAAACACGTATTTGTGGAATGAAGGAGACACCAAGAGCAGTTGGTGATGGCAGGTCATCCCCTGTTCCCGATTTCGAGTTGACACAAGGCTAGCACATACTGTGCCACTTGATGCTCTCTGGGCTCTTCATGTCCCCTCCCCTCCTGAGCATCTCCGAGCCTGGGTGTGGTTGGTGTGACTCACAAGGTCATGTGAGCCCAGGAATAGTGGTTGATCCTTGTACCACATTGAGTCACAGTTGCCAGTCAAGGCATGGCTACAAAGGAGCGAATCTGACCATTCATCATGCACGGTGCTTTCTGTGTGAGCTGAAACCCAGAGCTGCTTGTACTTAGGTGAAGTCACTAATTGTGAATTTCCAGGGACAGGTGAGATTTCCTTGGCCTCTCCTGATCCACCTTGGCCACCCCGACAGATCAGAAGCCCTGTTCTGCACATGGGAGCAGATCCCCTCTGCTAGTAATTCCCTTTCCACTGTCCCTGTGCCCTGCGGAGGAGAGGACTTCTGCTTTCTTGATATTTTGATAATATTTTATTCATAATACCTATAAAGAGCTAAATTATATGTAATCTACTACAATGAGAAGCATTTAAATTTTAGAACCAAGCCGAACTTGGTTTGGAAGTTTGGTATCACCACTTTCCAGCCGTGTGACCTTGAACAAATAACTTGACCTTCAGTCTCTTACCTACCTCATGAGACTATTATGAAAAATAAATGAGACTGGGACCAGCAGTCAGCGTAATGGCTATGTCGCTGGACTCCCACGTAGTCGACCGCGGTTTGAGTCCTGGATCCGGTGGCTTAAACTCATGCCAGGTGCGTGTGCATGTGTGCCCAAGATCCTGAGAGGAGAATGGAGGAGAAGGGATTGTGGTGTGGCCATCCCCCTGGGGGGTCATTTCTCGCTTTCTGTCTCTCTGTCTCTCTCTGTCTTTTTGACGAGTGCAGTTCGAGTACTGGACCTGGCAACTTGCTTTCTCACTTTCCTTCTCTCTCTCTGGTAAATTTAAAAAATAAATAAATAAATAAAATAATGACAATGAATGAAATAAAATTGAAAAATAATTCTTTAAAAAAATGAGACTCAAATTGTGGGATATACTTAAATTGTGATTATAGAGAAATATACTAGAATATACTCAAATTATGATTATAGAGAAATTCATAGCTTTAAACATGTATATTAGAAAAGAACAGACAAAAAATTAAGAAACTATGCTTTCATATTTACATGTTAGAAGAAAAAAACAAATTAAAGCCAAAGAAGGCAGAAGGAAGGAAATAATAAAGGGAGGAATATTCAAGAAAGTAGAAAACAAATATTTAATAGATTAATGAATGAATATAAAAGTTGATTCTCTGAAAAGGAATAAAAATTGGTAAACCTCTGATGAGACCAATCAAGAGAAAAGGCACAATAAAAAAAAGAGAGAAAAGGCACAATGAACCTGTCAGAAAGTTGCTCTTTATATTAGTAGTAAACGATTAAAATGAAAAATGAAGATAGTGTGTACAGTATCCCAAAACTTCAATACCGAGTAACGCGCCGACACGGGACACACACCGGCAGTCAGCATGAGAGGAACAAAGACTGCCTGCGTAGATGGAGCGTTTCTCGTGATGCAGACAGTCCATGTAAAGGTGTCGGTTTTCTCAGAGTGATCTGGGCATTCATTGAAATCCTAATCAAAGGCCCCACAGTGGGGCCAGCAGGTGGCGTGCTGGTTAAGATGCTGGTTTGAGTGCCAGAGCCGCTGGCTTGAAACATGCCGGGCGCATGTGCATGTGTGCCCAAAATCCCAAGAGGAGAATGGAGGAGAAGGGATTGCAATGTGGCCGTCCCCCCGGGGGTGATTTCTTGCTTTCTTTCTCTCTCTCTCTCTCTCTGGCCAGTGTGTGTGCCCTCTAGCAAAAATCTCTCCAGAAAAAGAAAAGTCCAGCAGAGGGCTGGTCAGTTGCGTGGTGGTTAAGGCGAGGGATCCCGCATGGGCGACCGCACAGTGCAAACCTGGAACCTTCCCCTGCGGTTCA